GTTTCTCTCACCTTCGTGGTCTCAAGTCCTGGTCTTTCGTAAGTAGATTACAAACCTCAATCTGCTGCAACAACGTGAAATCTTACATCAAGGTCATTCAGGGTCAGTCTGCTTTTCCAGTAAGTCCTTATCAGAGAATTTCAGCTTCAAGCCCTCTTTCTTCACTAAAATAGGCAGATATCCAATATTATCTCATCTGAACAGCCCTCTCACATACCAGTGATAATATTCTATTAAATCATTGTTTCTCAATCTTGGCAGCTTGTGAGATGTGTGGACTTCAACTCCCAGAATTCTCCAACCAGCCAGCCTTGCTCTCTTGACTTTATCAAGTTTTGGGTGAAAGTCTGTAAGACAAACAATGTAGGATGGAATTCAGCGGGTGGGAAGAAAAAAAACTACTGCACCTTGGATTTACACTTAATGCTTAAAGTTGTTGTATCCAATATGCTTACTATCCAGTCATATCTTTGATAGTTCCTCCCATTGGTCACATTATAATTACATGATCATGTTGGGGGCCTCAAAATTTTTGTGCCCCTTAGACGCCAGATTGGGCACCTATTTGGATTGTCATCAGGCCCTTTTGTATGCAAAACGTTTTCCCCTGATATCCACCTTCTCATAATAAGTAGGCAAATCAGTTTCAATTATTCCTGGGGATCATTATCTATCATCTATCATCTATCATCTATCATCTAATCTATCTATTATCTATCATCTATATCAGGATGTCAAACTCGCGTTGTCACAGCAGCATCACATGATGTATCAGGAATTCCCCCCTTTTGCTAAACTGGGCGGGGACGGAGCCAACATGTGACACATCCGCCCCGTGGACCACGAGTTTGACACCCCTGATCTATATCATCTATCCATCCGTCCATCCGTTCATCTGTCTATCTATCTTTCTATTTATCTATCATCGTCATATTTAGAAACTGCCCGTTTCCCTCGCAGAAGAACCATACTGATATACCTTCAGGTTTTTTTAAGACCAATTTCAATTGGTTACCCCCATCCATTTAAGGCAGTGTTTCTCAACTTTGGCCACTTGAAGATATGTGAACTTCAATCCAGTCTCTAGCATTCTATACCAAAGTGGCTCTCATCACGCTACTAGTATCATATTTATCTATTTGTCATATTTATGGCATTATATTCTTATCATAAAGCTAGCCTGCAAGAATTGACAACATGAAACAAAACACCCATCTTTGATAATCAAGTTCATTGGCATGTTATGTAACATGCTGCTCCCGGCTCAGTTTGATCATTGGAAGAGCTGACTCATAGCTCAGCTGAGATCAGTCTGTCTTCACCCAATGCTCACGAAGGAGTATGATAGAACTGTGAGATGTCCTAGTGCCTTTAAGAAGTTTCAGACATATGTGGCTTGTGAGCCTGCATGAACTAGAGATCACTTTTTCCCTTTCAAGTCCAAAACAAACCCAGAGCTCAAGATTATTGTGATGCATTTCTCCAATCAGTACAGAATAAGATGGCATTGTCACTTCCTGTAGCTTGCCAGATAATTCTCCATCTGTACCAGAGGTGGTGTTCAGCAGGTTCTGATCAGTTCTGGAGAACCGGTAGCAGAAATTTTGAGTAGTTCGGAGAACCGGCAAATACCACCTCTGGCTGGCCCCGCCCTCATCTATTTTCTGTCTCCCAAGTCCCAGCTGATCGGGACGGAATGGGGATTTTGCAGTAATCTTCCTCTGGAATTCAGTGGGAATGGAGATTTTACAGTATCCTTCCCCTGCCGCACCCACCAAGCCAAGCCACCCCCACAGAACCGGTAGTAAAAAAAATTCAATCCCACCACTGATCTGTACATACCACCACTGTACAGCAGATGTGAAGTTTGTTTTCCCTTCAGAAAGACAGGGTTCACCAGACCATGAAATGATTTACTAGATATTTTGCTACGTAGAAATAGTTTGGGGCTTATAATTCCTTAATCTGCTACTGGCATAATTCTTCTCTACCATCCTATGTTTGACAACCAGGATCCTGAACCATAAAACACACCTTGAAAACTGTCTAGTTCAGGACTTCCTGGGAGGAGCCTACTGGTGGAAGCAGCAAAAAATCAGCTGCCTCCGAATTCCTGGCTACGT